GAAATAGTATAAAGAAAGAGTAAAGCTTTTGCTAGCTTAGTGTCTAAGTTAAATAATACGCTTAAATAGATAGGACAATCTTTAATAAGGTAAAGCGCGAACTAGGCTTATAACTATAGAAATTTAGATTACTAAGGTTAGGAATAATTTAGGAGATAGATTATTAGATTATATCTACTACAATCGGACTTATATATATAGAGCTTCAGCTACCCTTACTAGAAGGTGAATAATTAGTAAACCTTCCTTACTAGAGCTCCTGCTTTTTATTAGGCACTTGGCAGTAAGCTGGCAGTTAATTAGATAGTGCGTCATACAGGGGTATTGATCGGGATTAATCGGATCAAGATGCTCCGTGATCCTGTTGATATCCCTCCTGCAACAAGAAGTTAAAGGGACTTATAACCTCTAGCTATCTAGCTTGCCTAGCACTAAGGACTTTAGTAGATATAAAGTACTCTAGTGCTTAGTAGTCTGTGTATACTCTAATAAGGTGCTAAGTACCTATTAGGTTAGCACGCTATTTCTTAAAGGCGTGGATTATTACAAATAATTCTTTGTTATAGATTTCCTAGTTAAGTTTAGAACTAATAAGGGTCTAACTAAAGAAGGATATAGGGTACTATTTCCTATTAGGATACTCCTATAAGAGGATAGCTATAATAACTCTATTAGAGGCGTCTATCTCTAGTTTTAGAGGATATTTAGGATAGAAGTAAGCTAAGCTTAGGATTACTAGTAGGGCATTCCTAAGTTAGTTAATAGCTTATTAACATTCTAAAGTCTATATAAATAAGGTAGCAGGGCTCTAGAGAGTAGTTAAGGGCTTAGCTATCTTAGAGAAGTTTTCCACAAATTGCTAGTAGAATCTAGTAAATCCTAGGAAGGACTTTACTCTAGTTATTATCTTAGGAGTAGACTAGTTTTAGAGTACTTTAACTTTGTTATAATCTATATCTAAGCCTTTGTTAGTAAGGGTACATCCTAGGTAATAGGTATAAGTTATATAGAATTTGCTTTTCTTAATATTAGCCTATAATCTAGCTAAATAAAGACGCTTAAGGACTTTTTAAACGTGTTCCTTATAGGTCTTAAGGTCTTTAGAGTAGATAAGGATATTATCTAGATAGGCGATGTAGAAGTTATCTAAATAATCTATTAGTATATTATTTATATAGTAATAATAGGTTATAGGTCTATTATATAGCCTAAATAGTAGGACTTTATATTTATAGGCACTATACCTAGTGTAGAAAGTAGTATACTTCTCTATATTAGGGTCTATTTAGATCTTGTTAAAGGTAGTATAAATATCTAGTTTTATAAAGATTTTAGCTGTAGCTAGCAAGGATAATAGATTATCTATATAGGCTATTAGATTCGCGTCCTTTTATATTAAGCTATTAAGCTTATAGTAATCTACACAGATCCTAAGGCCTCTATTTAGCTTCTTAACGCATAGGATAGGAGAGGTAAATAGGCTATAACTAGTCTTAATAAAGCCTTTCTCTAGGTGCTCTTGTATATATTCCTTAGTAGCCTAGAGTTCCTTAGTATTTTAATAATAGAGGGGACTCTAGTAGTTTAGAAGGGGTTCCTCTAGGACTATCTTTTAGATATAAGGCTAGTAGATTAGAAGTTTATTAGCCTTAGCTTTATTAAAGACGTCCTAATAGGAGTTATAGTTAGATAGGAGCTTCTAATCTAATAAGGCGTAGTTAATAGTATCCTATTTAGATAGGGTTTAGATCTAATACTTAATCTTGTATAGGCTAGTAGTAAAGAATTTATTAGAGGATTTTTTTATATTAAAATAGAAAGTATTAGTAGAAATAGTAGCAATTTAAAATTTAGCAGGTAGGGTAGTAGTTAGTAGTTAGACTAGGGTAGGTGGCGTAGTAGGTTTATTAGCAGCCCTATAAGCGGCTAGAATTTTTAGTATACCACGTATCCTATTAATTAAACTAAGACTATTTTAGTTCTAATTCTCCTCTTAATCCTAAAGGGCGTCTCTTTACAAGATATTATAGGTAACTAGAGTAGACAGGACTTGCTAGTAGAGTTGTACTAGAATTAGAGGTGCAGGGTTATAGGTTAGCGGATATCTTTCTAGCTAGATTAATTAGGATTAATCTATATTAACTAGGATTTAGAACTATTTTAGCTAGTATTATGTAATAATATAATCCTAAGAACCTAAGTCTACTATTATAAAGGGGCAGTTATACACTATATAGCTACTAACTATTATATAAAGCTTAATATAGTAGGTAACTAGGGAGGTAATCTAATCCTAGAACCCTTTAATAGTAATCTAATCCTAGAACTCTTTAATAGTAAGCTTATATAGTAGCTTTTAGATAGGTACCCTAAGAGTAGAAAAAATATTATAAGTAATTTTTAAATTAAGAATTAAGTAGCCTTAGGCCCTAGTATCTACTAAGGCGTTTAGGCAAATACTAGATCTATTAAGGCATAGGGTTATACGTGCAAGTAAATAGGAACTAATAAATAATTTAGTTAAGGAAAGATTTAATAGGTTATATTAAGTTAGGCCTAGGAAGAAGGATCCTCCTAGGCGTTATTATTTCCTATCTAGTAGCTATCTAAATTAGTTAATTTAGTAGTTTCTTCTTCCTTAGAATTCTTAATAACCTACTCTATATCTATAGCCTAAATCCTTAGGGGTTTAAGGTAGTTACTAGAGAAGTGCCTAGGCTTCCTATAATTATAGCAAGTTCCTAGGGTTCCTATTATAGTAGCGCTAGGAGTAGCTACAGTAGTAGATAGGGGTTAAGTATTTTAAGGGGTAGTGCCTTATTATTATATATAGGGTATATAAGATTTAGCTATTAAAGATCTATTTTAGGGTTTCTAATTAGTGTCTAAATAGGACTATTTTCCTAAATATATAAAGGGGGTTAGTCTTTTTCTAGATAATAGAGTAGTCTATATATAAGTAGATTAGGTAGGGTATAAGTAGCGTTCTATATTAAAAGTAGTAAAATAGTCTACTATAGTCTTAAAATTATTATAGTAATTTTTTTAAAAAGTAAGATTAGGTATCCTTAGGGAAGGTATAATCTTTATCTAGAGCTAGTATTACTATTCTAATTAGGGTACCTATCCTCTAATAGCAAGACTCTAGAATCTTAATTTAAAAGTAGGGAATATTTTAATATTACTTATATAAAGATAGTTAAATATAGTCTAACTCTTAGCTATCTTATTTCCTATAATAAAATAGGTTTAAAGGAGGGTAATTATTTCTTTAGCTTTTTAGAAATAAAGAGCTTAGGAGTTAGATAGGTAACGTGGCTCTAAGTACTCTCTTGCTAGTCCTAAGCAGTGTCCCTAGACTAACGCTATCCGCGCTCTAGAAAAGGGGTAGTAATTAGCGTTAATCTCTAGCCTATCCTAAATAGATGCTTGCTATTATCTAAAAGTAGGATTAGCACTCTTACTAAGTATAGAGATATTTAGTATCTTTTTAGATTATCTCTTAGCTTTTATAGTATATACTATAGGGTTAAATATAGAAGCTAAAGACTAGCTAGGTTAGGTAGTACCTTATATCTCTATATAGAGAGAGGTATTATATAACTAATTAGTAAGTTACCTTACTTATTCTTCTAACCTCTCCTTTTTAGATAGGGTTAATATATATTTATCTTTAAGGGAGGTATTGCTTTAAGATTTCTTAGAAGTATAAGGTACCTTAAGAGATAGATAGGAAGTAGGGCCTTCTAGGAGGGTGTTATTAATTAAGTCCTCCTTATCTAAATTTATTCTATTAGTAAATAGGCTTTTAAAGGTAGCTAAACTAGATACCCTTGTTTTACCTTTATCTAATATTTTAGTAGTTAATAAAGAATAATAAGTCTTTTCTTTTTAGGGGGTTAGTTATTAAAGGATATTAGCTTTACCTCTAATTCCTCTAGGCTTTTAGTAGTCTCTAAGTCTCTACCTTAACGTAATCTAACGCGATTTTTCTAAAGGTAATCTAGCACTACCTAGTAGTCTAGAAGTCTAAGCCTATAGGCTTTACTTATTAGAAGTTCTAATAGCTATTCTTACTATATAGTTATAGGGTTAGACTACTACTAGAACTAAATTAGTAGCTTAATATATTAATAAATACAATATTCTTAAATAATATTACTAGCTAGGATAATATTCTTCTTATAATATAGTAATATAGGTAGGTAGGGTATCTAAAAGGTATCCTATACGACTTAAAGGCATATAGGAGTGCGTATCTATATAGAAAAGGATAAGATTCCTACACCTATAGGTCTTATATAAAAGGATAAGAAGAACATGCCTATCCTAATATTAGCGAGCTGCTCTCTATATATATTAGTAGGTTAGGCCTTTGTTAGGGCTAACTTGGCATAGAATAATAGGCGAGCAATTCTACCTTATTATTACAATACCCCTGTATTACCTACTATCTAATTAACTGCTAGCTTACTGCCACTACAGTACAAAACCAGTTTACAGTAGCTATATTTATCTAAAGTAGACTAAGAAGTGGTTTAGGTAGAAGAAGTAAATCTAAATAGGGTTTATTATACCATGTATTCCACAAAAGTAAACTACTTTTATTTCTACTTCTATTAATCTACTAGTATTACGTAGTACTGTAATACCTAGTTTCCTACTAACTATTTAAGTATTTTACCCCTCCTTTCTTTAATCTTCTTCACCACCTCTAACACCTCTACCACCACCTCTACCACCACCTCGACCACCACCTCTATCACCACCACCACCACCACCACCTCCACCACCTCCACTACCTCCACCACCTCTACTACCTCCACTACCTCTACTACCTCTACCACCTCTACTACCTCCACCACCTCTACTACCTCTACCACCTCTACTACCTCTACCACCACCTCCATCACCACTACCACCTCCATCACTACCTCTATTATCACCACCTCTATTATCACCACCTCCTATTATTACTACCTCCTATTAGTAAAAATATCATGACTCATTATTATGTCATATGTACGTATAGCGTGAAGCTAATCTTTTCTACCCCTTTTAGTCTTAGTTAGGTATTATAGCGTATAATAGAAATAAAACTAATTTTTATACTTAATTTAAACCCCTACTATAAAAGTAAACCACCACTTTAAACCTATTTATAGGTATACACGAGGTCAGTTTACACCTATATAGTATACCCCTAGCGTACCATTCTACAGTAAACAATTGTTTACCGTAGTGTGCCAAGTGCCTAATAGAAATAGGAACTCTAGTAAGGAAGGTTTACCAATTATATACCTTCTTGTAAGGGTAATTAAAGCTGTATTTATATGAGTCCTATCGTAGTAGATATAATCTAATAATCCATCTCCCAAATCATTCCTAAGCTTAGTGATCCAACTTTCCACATCAATACTTTCCGTTCAATTTACTTTAATAATGGCTGGTTAGAACAAAACATCCACAGCATCTGATCCGGAGTAAGTACGCATGCAGCTGGAGTCCTTTAGAGAGTAGACAAAGATCACTAACTGGAAGCATGCGCAGGTCCTTTACAGCCCGCGATGCAATTATCGAAGATGCTCAAGGCGTGCCAAGCGTCTGTGCTCGCTTAGTCATCAATCTTCTTTCGCGCAGATTATTTGGGTAAATTAATTTCATCCTTAGCAATGTCTGTTAACCGCAACGCCCCACCTATCATGAAATCACTAAGGTCGCTTGATACGTGCTGAATTTCACATGATCGTTCGTCCGGTCCGTGTTCTCCAAGCTGCGAGGATGATCTCCACGCTTGTTGGGCAGAGTGGTCGCGAGTACAACCTCCAAAAAGTGCTCCAACGGCACCCTAAGAAGCCTGAACTTAGCGTCTGCCTTGCGCTGTGAGTTCCGAATCTCCGTGCGTATCTATCAAACTGGGTGAAACTGACCGCTTTTTCCAGCTGTGACAAGACGCCCTACGTCGTGAAGCCTGTCTCAGAGTCCATCTTGGAGCATCTGCAAGAGTTTCGAGCCGAGTTTGAAAGTCATCCCCGTCTTCGCATTCATGTTGACAAGATCGAAAAAGAGAGCATTCTTGTTTACGAATACTTCAAAACTGATTTGCTCGCATTGGTAGAGAATTACCCTCCTCTTCCGTTGACAGCGAGGAAGAAGATATTGAAGGGGATTGGAAACACACTTGCTGAAATGCATGAGAAGAATTGGATCCACCTAGGTACAATACTACCTGCATGCCCTGGCTTTGACAAAAGCTTTGCTAATTTAACTATAGACCTGAAACCGGACAATATCTTCCTGAATTGGTACGTGGACTCGAACGACGAATTTCATCTAGAAAAGGTAGTCTTGGGCGACATGGACTGCGCGTTAAAATTAAAGGGCGAGAAACTACTGAACTACAAGATTGGAAACGTCATGTGGCGTAGTCCGGAAGGACAACTAGGAAGAGGCGTAGGAAAGCCTTCTGAAGTCTTCTCCTTTGCTCTCTTAGTAAGTATTGTGCTTAATTAGACCTGCACAAGCTTATTAACTGCCCAATATAGTGTCTCTACGTCATTACGGGGGTGCAGTCATTGCACTTCAACTTCGCAGAGCTTGACACTGAGCCTGAGGTAGTAGTTTTGTTAAAACTACTTTCGACCTTTGGCCCGCTACCAGATGCACTTACAAAGCATGTCGATGATGCGAAGGCTGGTGAGCTTCTCACCAATTTATGGCAAACAGTGAAGGAGAATGACGTAAATGGACATTTCGCGGATTGGACAGAGGATGTGTTTCCTAACCTCACGGACGAAGTAAAGAGGTTAATCTTAAGGATGACTAATCTCGATCCAGCTAAGAGAGCAACGATGTCAGAGATTGTCAAGGATAGTTATTGGGTCGAAGATGAGAAGTCTTAAGTGCAGGTTGGCGTACAATGTTCAGCGTGCCAAAATTGAAGCATAGCATTGCGGTGGCTTCTTAACAAGCTTATCTGGTCATGATAACCCCCGGGTGTTTCCTTGTTTCGCTTCTATGTAACAGCTTTCCATCATGGCATCAAGCAAAAAGCTCAAACTGTGACTAGATCCTTTAACTTCCTCTCATTGTCAAGAATGTTTTGCTGCTCGACATGCCATTCTCTCTTAGAGCTCGCTGGTCCTGAGGAGTGGATCTAAGGATAAACATGCTTGGTCATGATATGGTTGCCCTTGGAATCTTCGAAGACAGTGGTGAAGTGAGACTTGCTGTCGCTTTCGCTTGGATGCTCTTTTTCGCTGAGGTCCGTTATTAGCCCTGTCAAGCATAATGATGGGAGAAATGTCTCTCACGCTAAGATCGCAATAGCGGCACCAGCAGGGACGTCACGGTCCTTCTCTAAAGCCTCGCAAAACTCGTTTTGCACGCCCTGCGCCAAGAAGCTACGCTCCCAAGTAGAGGTCTTGGTGGCATACTTGACTTGGATTGCTTTACCGCCCGCGTTAACAGTCCTGATCACATTGCTAGAAATGACTTTGTTGTAGGACATATTGCGAAGAGAATACTTGTAATGTAGATGGACAGATGGTCTTGGAAGAGGTCGTCTTGATTTACGAATGTGGATTCCAATTGCTAGTCTTTGTTGTGTCTTTCGATTCTGTGCCTTGATCTAACATAGGTTCGTTGACATCTCTTTTATATTTAACCAGCGCGGCTGATTTATCATCCGCCTTATGCATTGAGCTCTATCGCTTGCATGATTTCTGACCACAAGTGACCCAGAAAGCACCCATTACCAAGATCACTGCACTGTTCGTCACCGGCGGCAAGGCGCGACTGAGGCACAGTCATCGGCGCTGAAGATCTGTTAGTTCCTCTTGCAAGGAAACGACGATATCAGAGATGGGCAGGGTACTGTCTGATGTCGGTGATGATGGAGAGCTGAAGAGTTTGTTTACATCTAAATCAGGACTAGGTAGCGCTTATCCTGTGACGCGTCCCTGTAGTCATTTCTCCCCTCTAGAAAATAGCTTTAATCAATACTTCTTCCACATTTTCACATCGTATAACTATAGTTCCTATGTACTTAATATAGCCACTGCAAGCGGACAGCTAATGTGACGCTGGAAGTATTTACCAACCCTACATTTCGTTGATCAAAGCAGTGGCACGACGAGAGGATGTCGTTTCAGACATTAATGTCTAGGAAGGGAGATGATAATGCCGTTTATGTTCTTCTACCAAGGTACTCTAGAAGTCCTCTAAGCTTGGCCTAGGCACCTCCAAGTAACCCTAATCGTAATCACGCGCAACACCATTCGTACGACAACGATAAAATTATTGAACGAGTTGATAATACCAACGGAGTGAGGCTATGTTCCATGCAAAATAAGCTGCAAGAAGAGCTTGATGATCGCCTCTAAGCGCCCGGTCCGGAGCGGATGGCCGGTGACGAAAAGAGTTTAAGGTTTGCTTTTAGGGTTGTGGTTAGAAACCATTTCGCTAGTACCTCAGTGTCTTTCGCGGCGGCTGATGCCTGCATTATTATTGTGCCTATGAATAACTTTACATAAGAGGAATTCGGCTGTATGAAGTGACTGCAGGAAAGCGGCCTTAGAAGGTCACAGTACCTAGGCATTGTCTTCGTATGCCTCGCGTCCCAATTCCACGCTATATGAGAGTGCGTTCTTGCGCAGGAAGCTAAATTCCAGCTTGGAGTATTGTTGCACTTCGTAGTGGGGGCCGATATGCAATTCTGTGCCGCTCCCCGTGCTGCACCAATTGCAGAGGCCTTAAGCACGTAAACCTTCCCTAGCCGCATTTTGCCTGCTTGTAGGTTTAGCAAATCCTAGGTTTAGTATACGTAGATTAGACACACAACTATAGACACTTCCTAAGGGCAGCTAGTCTACGCTAAAACTATTTTGAGTAGTCTCTGCGCTTAGTATAACGTACTCAAGGGGTAAGTAGCTAACCTATACTAAGCCCCTACTATAACGTGCTCTTTAAATAGTATAGACGCAACCTTTATAAACTATCATCTATAGAAAAGGATTTTTTTAGAAACTTAGGATACTAAAGCTATATTTTATATATACGCAAGTTATACACTACCTTACTATAGTTTTTATAGCGTTATTAAGTAGACTTGCCTCCCTTAGCGCGTATCCTCTTTAATGCCTTCTCCCTATTACTACAATCCCTAAACTGCTAAAGATTAGTTATCTATACTCCTTCTTTAATAGTAAGGGTCCCCTCCTTCTATAACTAGTTCCTAATATATAATTAATATTAGATAGTAGTTTTAATAGCTACCTAAAGCTTAGTATTATATTACTATGTTAACACTATTAGGTATCCTATTATCTCTATACCTTTAGAAAGCTTTATAAGGATAATATTTATTTAAGTAGGTAAGCTATTAATATACCTAGGCTAGTAAATTAGGGTTAGTGTACAATAGCTGTGGTATTAGGTAAGGTTTAGGTTGTAGGGATCTAGTGCTTAGGTTATGTATAGGGTAGTAAATAGGTATAGGTTAGGTTAGGAATAGGTCTGCTTATGTTAGACCCTAAGCACTACTATAACCTAACCCAAGATTTTCGCACGGCCCTAGTGCTTAGGTTAGGTTAGCATCTTATTTAATCCACACGCTTTACCTTTCTAGGGTTATTTACTATAATTAAAAGCTATAATACATAGATATAGTACTATACTCTATTTCTATATTCTATTTCTATATTTTAGCTCTATAAATAGTTTAGTTTATATGTAAGTGTTAAGTACTATAATAGGTAAAAAGTGAATACTAATACCCTACTTAATAACATGATATATATAGTGGGATATTATATTATAGACTAGCCTTAAGGGAGAATATAGTAAGCGTTAATAATAGTATTTAGTATCTTAAAGGAGAGGTAAGCCCTCTACGCCTTTTTATAGGTGTGTAGCGTGTTTGCTTAGTAGTGGTATTAGTCTCTGCCTATCTTTTATTAGACCTAGGCTTAGGTATAAGCCTAAGCCCTGTATATACTCCTAACCTTCCTGTTGCAGGAGGGATAACAACTAGATCACGGAGCATCTTAATCCCAATCAATCCCAATTAATCCTGGTTAATACCCATGTATGACCCACTATCTAATCAACTGCCAGCGTAGTGCCAAGTGCCCAACAAAAGAAGAAGCTCTAGTAAGGAAGGTTTACCAATCACACACCTTCTAGTAAGGGTAGCTAAAGCTCTATATATATAAGTCCAATCGTAGTAGAGACAATCTAATAATGCATCTCCTAAATCATTCCTAACCTTAGTGATCCAAATTTCCAAAGTTATAAGCCCAGATCGCGCTTTAGCTCATTGAAGATTGTCCTATCCATTTGAGCGTACTGCTCGACTTAATCACTAAGCTGGCAGTCGATCAGATAGTGGGTCATACATAGGTATTGACCAGTATTAATCAGGATTAATCGGGATCAAGATGCTCCGTGATCCGGTTGTTATCCCTCCTGCAACACTTCCCTAGGAACTATTATAAAAGTATCTTTTTAGGGATTTAAGGCTGTATCTTTATGCCTTCCTAATTTATACTAGGCTGTATTACTATATCTTTAGCTTTATTATTATATTTTTTATATTTCTCCCTAACTTATAATAGACCTATATATTAAGTAGTACGCGTGTATAGTGTCTATATATTTATTTTAGCACCTAATTATAAAAGTTCTAATATAGCTATTTATCCTTATTATAAATTTCCTAAACTTAGTTTATTATATAATAGACTTTCCTTAGCTAATTAGTCTCTATCTACTCTTTTTCTATTAATCTAGCCCCTATTACCTCTATTATATCCTTATCTACTACTAAACCAACAGGGAGAGTAACCTATTCAAACGAGGAGAAGTAGGAGGGGTAAGGTTCAATAGTAGTGATCCTATAGTAGAAGTTATAAATTTAATACAGGATTATAAGAGAAAAGTTAATATTATAGAGTTCTAGTAAAGTATCTAAAAGTTATGCTACTCTATCCTCTAATCCTTTATGCCTTTATACTATTTAACCTACCTAACTTTTTAGGCTAAATCTTGTTTATCTCCTATATATCCTATTGTAGAAATCTAGATCACTAAGGTTAGGAATAATTTGGGAGATGGATTATTAGATTGTATCTACTACGATCGGACTTATATATATAGAGCTTTAGCTACCCTTACTAGAAGGTAAATAATTAGTAAACCTTCCTTACTAGAGCTCCTACTTTTTATTAGGTACTTAGCAGTAAGCTAGTAGTTAATTAGATAGTGGGTTATACAGGGGTATTAATTAGGATTGATTGAATTAAGATGCTCCGTGATCCGGTTAATATCCCTCCTGCAACACCTATGCTATAGCATAAACCTCCCCCTCCTTTAAGCTTAGCCCTATTAAGCTTAGCCCTTACTCTCCTCCTCTAGGTCTACGACCCTAGTTACTAGCTTGTTAAGCTTTAGGTAAGGGAGTAGGAGTATCTAAGGTCTCTAATCTTAAACCTAAACTTAATAAGATAGTTCTCCTCTGCGCCCTTGCTAGGCTTCCTGCAAAGCCTAGCCCTAAGCGCCTAGATCCCTCTACCTTCTGTTCCTCCTTAATAGTTCCTAGATACTTTTTAATAGTATCTAGAGTCTCTAATTACTTAATCTATCTATTATACCTCCTCTACTCTCCTAGCTTAGTAGGCTACACCCTCTTTATACTAAAGTAGGATTAGTCTAGTACCCTAGTATCCCTATCCTTACTAGATATAAGCTTCTTATTCTTAATATAGATAGCCTAATTCTTCTTTAACTTCTTTACTATCTTAACCTAACTCTTCCTAATCTATACTCTTATCCTTTCCCTATTTAAATCTCCTATTAGGTACTTCTAGATCTCTACCTTTACTAAAGGGTTATCCTATTAAACCTAATATATAATAGCCTTTAAGATCTAGGTTAGGTAGGTAGTCTAGATATCTTTAGGGAATTGCTAATAGACTCTACTATATTTAACTAGGTGCCCTAATAGAGTCTTTAGGGCTATACTTATCTATAGGTAGGCTAGCGTGATTTCTATATATATCCCTATCTCTAGCACCTCTATTATTATTATATTATCCTAAACTTTTATATACTATAGTAGAACTATATATTATATTTAGGTAGTAGGCCTAGTAGATCTATATAGTATTACTAGGCTTATAATCCTTACCTATCCCTTTTAATAGATTTCCTTCTCCTATCTTACCTTAGGGCACTTCTCCCTTAGCTCTTTAGGCTAGTGCACCCTATCTTCCTATGCCTAGATATAAGCCCTCTTATTCCTCCTTAACCCCCTATCTATGTAATTTACCTAATTCTTCTATACTTCTTTAAATCTAATTAGGAGCTTAGTGTAGTTATCTTAGTCCTTATTATTAAAAGAAACTAAGCCTTAGATTATCTTAAGCCCTTATCTTAACTGCGCTGCCTTAGAAAGGTTTATATCCACGTAATAAAAGAATATCTAGTCTCCTACCTAGGCGTACTTAGTAT